TCAGAGCTGTGGTATGGTGGGCTTATCGTATTCGGCAGTTGTGATATTTGCAAATAAGCAGGGATGACAAATGCAGAGGCACGGCCGTCTCTGCGTATATGTTGGCAGCGGGTGAGTATAACCGTGAGAAAAAACACGATAACCGTGGTGAAGCGGAGTAGAAAGGAGTAGAGAAGCAGGTGAGTAGGTTGAAGTAAACAGGTTAAGGTGAGAAGGCACTCAGGGTCTTGTGCAACGCTAGCAGGCACGACCTCTCGACCCTTTCCCCATGACTCAACTGTACACAGAGGAAGGTGCGAAACCCTCAATGCGGCAATAAACGCATCTCAGTTGTTGTTACACGACATTATGAAGTGATTCATATCACTTTCGCTATGGTAAGATGGCCTACGTCGAACTCCTGTAAGGTCATCAAACTCGAGTACTCCCAGCGATCTATATAATCTTTGGATCATCCTCTAGGCACAGTAAACACCATCCCGCTCGATTCGGTCGCCATTTTCATGCATCTGAACCCCGAGGGGATGCTCGCATCATTCAAATTTCTGGTTGTCTATGCCATCGGAGCGATATCCCGGATATTCCACACACCTATTACCGACGGAACCTTTTCGCTCGACCGATTCCAAAGCATGAATCAACAATACTTAAGTTATCCTTTTCGAAGTAAACATTAGCAGTCTGTATCTTTGAAATTGACATGTCGAATACCTAGTCATGGTTCTTATTCTGACTCGGATTTCCGCGTGGATGCATGCATGATGTGGATCACCATGAGGCTATCAATTGTGATAACAAAATGAATTCTAGGAGACTACTTTGCTAATGCCATATTTATACATGGATATTACTGTCCACCACAGGATTGTTTTTTTTGGTTTATGACATGTACGGTTTAACGTTACAGCAATCATATCTTTTTTTCGAGTCCAAGACCAAACTTGTATCAGTCACTTTTTTTCTGGTATGTTTCTTGCTGTCAAATCTGACTCTCAGATTGCCATCACTCTGGATATCCTCGTATATTTTCTCCGGTAGTGTTTTTCTTATGAGTAAAAGATTTCAACTTGCAAAATATTTGCTTCTCTTACACTGTCACAATTAGCTACAGCGAGAACATATGATTTAATTCGGCATATTCCAGATGATCTGCGGACATATACTAGCTATCCAAAGGGAGCTATCTCCCGAATTCCTCTAACAGGGTTAGAGGCATTATCAAATTGGACTAGGTCAGTCAACCACCAACGACACATCTTATCCCTTGTACCTTTGACCTGCATATTATGATCCTATTTCTATTTCCCCATGAGAAGCGGAAATAGTAAAATCCATGGATTTCCATGTAGTCTGATGTTCTATGAGAAGGAATTGATTTAAATACAGCACTGTATCCTAATTAAACCATATTGATAAAGACATCACATCATTTTAGATATTGCCAGGAAGAGATACATATGCCTGTGAGTTTTGATATGAAGTATACTCAACTCATTGTTGCAGAGAAGAGCTGCTTCAAGGTTGGGTTTCTAAAGTTTCTACTAGGATGTCGAAAAACAGTGAGATGCTGCAAACTAAAAAAAGGCCTCCATGACACATTCTTTCGCATATATTTAGATGCTAGTTAGTGACTGTAAAATGGTAGATTTCCGTTCATTTTTTCTTGTTGATGGTACTACCGGGTGTTGGGCATATATGAGGCGATAATGGTGCGGATAGCTACTAGGGTCGAGTATTAGCAGTATCGCGATGCTGTAGAACTTTTTGAAAATCCACTCAGTCTATGTTCCATTCAAATTCAATTGATTGCCTGTTTAATTTGGTGCCGCGGTTAATCATAATTGTACATTCGCAGCATAATCATTTCGTGTACAGCTGTGATGATGAGCGTGGTACCAGTGCAATTCGGACGGGGGGCGTTCTTGCGAATAACGCGCACAGAATCAATACTGCTCTACTTCACGACCACAAAAAATCCCCGTACGGTTGACGCAAAAACAGCACAGGTGGAAACCCAGTCGGAAGAGTAGATATGCTTTGGGTGTTATATGTCCAGTGCTGCCAGTAATTGTTGAGGTGTCAAACACGCAACCCCGCCAACAGCTGCCAAACAACGCGTCGACTCGGTGTAACTACTGGACAACGCAGATAGCTGTCACTATGCAGGAAAAAACATAATAGAGAGATAAGCAGAGAAGCGCTCCTCAACGTCAGAAAGAATTGAGGGATTGGAATCAAGAGGGCGCTGAGAGGAGGATGTTGGGTAGAGCTACCTCCTGGGGCGCGTGACACACCCTCACCTGACACATATTACGAGACACGTCATCGACTCGACACGATTGCCAAAGGGGTTGTACACAAGAAGAGATAGGCAACAATAGAGTTTCTGATAGCTGGTGAGGTGGGTCTTGGTTTCGTCAGAATTTTGTGTATGTTGGGTATGCTGGGGAAGGGCAATCGGAGTATCTCTGTGCACAAGCGAAACACCACGGAAGGAGGCGGAACAGAGCGCGTAGAATACCCAAACACCACCAAGACTAGCGTAAAGTCAAAACCTTGGAAGGCCGAGAACGTTTGGTGTGAGCAACAGATAGACAGTTAGGCCGAGAAAAGGTGAGGCAGGCAAGGAGACGCGCTCCTACATGGGCGGGCGAGATTTTGTGGTATGCGTTTGCGCGATGGATTGGTTAGCTGTGCAAAACCTGAGGCCGTGTCGAAGCAAAGACGGTCAAAGTAGAATTAATGTCGATCGCTGTTGATAGACGTATAAAAAACAAAAAGCGCTCGACTTTGGGCACGCGGGCAAAAGTGTGGTCGAGGCAAAAGCTTATGGGTGTAGGGGCATGTGGACAGAGAGGGACAGAGGGATGAGGGATGAGGGACGAGGAACGAGGGAGGGGTTCAACGCGTGCGCTTCCATGGGCACCGCAACGCGCCCCAACTTGCAGACTGGATTAGTGTAGGAGAGCAAACAAACGAGACGAGATCACCCTGAAGCGCTCTAGGTTGGTGAAGGGGAGGGAGTGTTAGCGCACTTTTTGCGGGTTGGGAAAAAGAGCGCATTTGGATCACACAGGCGCTGAGATTGCTATAAATTGGCCGCCCCCCACTTGCACGCGCGCTCTTGCCCTATCGCAAACCTCCCAACACCACCACAACCTCTCCATCGCTCTTGGTCTTGCTCTGCCCATTTCAAGCTTCAATCACACATCTGCTATCCAGTCCAAATTAACCCACACAATGCCTCCCAAGAAGACCACCACCCCTTCCAAGGCAAAGGCTCCCTCTGCCGCCCCTGCACATGGCTCCTACATCGGTATGTTGTATATCCCCAGCACACCACCAGCGCATTCTCTATGCGTACACGGTCTGTTGCATCATGATCGCCGATAAATGCTGACTTTGTATTGTAGACATGGTAAAGGATGCCATCATCAACGTGAGTCTATCCTCCCAGGCGCATTGCCAGTTCCCCCCCGCACCGGGGATTGCGACGCCAGCGCATCACCGCGCAAGGCCCAACACTCCAACTCCTCCACTCTGTGTATCTTAATGAACATGATTACTGACGTGCTCTTTTCGCGATACAGCTCAAGGAACGTAATGGATCAAGGTTAGTAAATCCATCTCATGTTGATGTTGTTGCCTTCGCGCCGCGTTGTGCTTTTGTCGCAACACGCGCCTGTCAGAATCCTTACTAACTTTCCCTTACAGCCGTCAAGCCATTCAAAAGTACATCCAAGCCAACAACAAGCTCGGCAACCTGAGCGATGCTGCTTTCAGGGGCCACGTCAACCGCGCCATTTCCTCTGGTGAAGAGAAGGGTGACTTTGCGCGTCCCAAGGGTGAGTGCCTATCCCTCCGCCACAACCTAACCCGTGACGCGTTTCCCTAGCGTCGCTCATCACCCATTGACTTGGACATTACTGACACGTCGCGCAGGCCCATCTGGACCAGTAAAGCTTGCTAAGAAGGAGGCTAAGCCTGCTGCTGCTGCCAAGAAGTCTGAGTCTAAGTCTGAGAAGAAGGTCACTGAGAAGAAGACCGAAAAGAAGACTGCCGAGAAGAAGAAGGCCCCTGCCACCAAGAAGGCCGCCAAGGACTCCCCCAAGGAGGAGACCAAGGAGGAGAGCGCTACCGTATGTATTATGCTCGTGTTTTCAATAACCAAGGCTGACATAATCCGTAGGAGACTGAGACCACTACCAAGGCTGCCCCCAAGAAGAAGGCTGCAACTGCCCGCCCAAAGAAGGCTGCCGCTACTACCACCAAGGCTGCTGCTGCTGCCAAACCCAAGGCCAATGCTAGCAAGCCCCGCAAGACTGCTGCCGCTAAGCCTGCCGTTGAAGAGGAAGTATCACGCGTTCTCGGCAAGACCAAGTCTGGTCGTGTCACCAAGAGCAAGGCCCCCGCTACTGAGGCAAAGGCTAAGGCAGCAAAGAAGACCGCTGCACCCAAGAAGAAGGCCACTGAAGAGAAGAAGGAGCCTGCCGCAAAGAAGGCTGCCGCACCTAAGAAGGCCACCACCCCTAAGAAGAAGACCACACCCAAGAAGGCCACACCAAAGGCTGCCAAGGCATGAGGTTGAATTCTTGTCTTTGTTGATGTTGTTTTCCTTTTGAATTGCTTCAGTCGTCTGGCATAGAAGCATATGCTAGACTACACCTTCTTCACGGATTCCCTTTTGTCTTACAATCAGTCTCTGGGTTCTATGGGCGGTCAAACAGCGTTAGTACCGGGTGGATATGGATGGGAAATGGGCTGGATGTTCCTTCTCTCGCTCTTCTTATGTCGAGTATGTTGGCGGGGCGTTTCGGGCGCAGTTTGTCTCAGTCTCCAGCGCTTTCATGTCTTGTGTTTTACCACATCTGTTGTTCTTTTTGTTTTCCTTCTCACTCTCACCAGCGCCGCGCTTTCTTATGGCGCGTACATATCGAGAGGATAATCGCTACGACGTAACGCTCATCGTCTCAAAGCAATGAAAAAACCCATTACACACCTCAAACATTGCGCCTTCTCTTTGTATGTGAAGAAAGTTGTGTGAATTGTCGACGTGTTGTTTTCGCATGCACGCGTCGAGGTTGCTTTCCTCGTGACTTTGACCTACGCCACCTGACATGATAAGATAAAGGATTATGCACCACTGATATAATTGCTACTTGCACAACGTCGCTCGTCTCCAGGAACACTGGATTCCTCAAGTAGCTTTTGGTATCTAAAGAAACTGAACTCGACACCTTGTCAAAAGGGTACTTATCACCCCATATCACTAGAACAAGACGAAGATGAAGCAACCAAGAGTGCAGAAAAATCAAGCGATGAAGTATCATAAATGTCTATTCATTTTGTCATATCATATTTAGCAAGAGCAAAAAGAAGAGGTGTCCTACAACCCCCCCCCCCCAAATATATACAAAGGACAGTTCCGCTCAACCGCATTCTTCTCTCCATCAACCAGAAAACTTTTGTTGTTCAGGCCACACACACACGAAAAACCAGAGTCAAACCCGCTTACTCGGAGTAGTGGCACTTCTCAGGAGTCCAATCATTATCAACACGGGCCTCAAACTTAGTACAGTTCTGGCCAGCAGGATGCTCAAAGGCATCCATCCAGACCTTGTACTGGCCGGGGGCATTGTAAATGGGGCAAGCCTGGAGGCCGTAGATAGGGGCGGTGGGGGTGAACTGGAGCTTGAGGGTGCCGTGGTTATCGACGAAGAAGCCGTCGCGGAGGGCGTTGCGGGGCAGGGGCTCTGCGCCAGTCGTGTAGCGCATGTTGCCCTGGCCCATGCCGTCGGCTGCAGTGTAGAATTGCTGAGGCGGGTTGGCTGTGTAGAGCGAGAGAGTGCCGTTGCCGAAGACAAAGGTTGCGTAGTCGCGTGGGTCGGGGCCGCAGGAGGCGCCTTGGTCTTTCAGACCGATGAGCAGACTGCTGTTCGCGGCTTGGAGGAATTTGCCGTCAAAGTCGGTGCCGGGGGCGATGGCGAAGAGGCGCGAGGTCCAGAAGAGGGGGGTGTCGTCGGCACGGGTCTGGAGGGGGCTGGCGGCCGCGAGAGCAGCGACGCTGGTGGCGATGGCGGCGGTGGTGAACTTCATGTTGGTTGTTGGTGGTGGTTGGTGATTATTATATTATATTGTTGTTGTTGTTGTTATTATTGTAGTAGGCGTAGTAGTGGTAGCGAAGGTGGATGTCAAGCTGGATGATGAATTTCGAAAGAGAAGGGGACATGTCAGATGGATTATATATACACGCAAAAGAGCCTCCAATTCTCTAAGTTCCGCCCATCCTGGCCCTGTTGAAGCGCATAGGTAACACACTATCGAGGACGGAATGAGGTCCATGTGCTCGGCGTATTACCCTCAGTGCTCCCGCATGAGATCATTTGCGAGCCGAACACGAAGCGCATCTCGCCATGCCCCCACATTTTGGCACTTGTTTTTAGGAACCGCGCCACAGCCGGAGCGGGTGCCCTTCAGGGTTCGCAAAGGATCAGGGCTGCAAAAAGGCTGCATGTCCGTATTGCCGCGCCTGGGTGCTATCGAATGTTCGCACGAAGGTCGAATCAAAATCGTAGGCGGTGACGTGGCTGTGTTCAGAACCAAGGGCCGATTCAATGCCGCTTGGCTGTGAAGAGTTAATCCGCCTGCCTCTTCGGTCGTCGTTTCATTCGCCGGGATAACCCTATTCGCTCTTTTGCCAGTTGCTGACAAGAATAGAAACGCTCCACTGACCACTGGGAAGTGTTTGGCCGCATTGTTCTTGGCGAAGATCGTAATGTCACGCTTGTTGTCGTCTCTCGTGTTCTTTGCTTCTAGCCTACACGTGGATTCCCAAGTAGTCGGACAGCGCATTCTTTGTTGCCACTTCCAATATTTATCTTCTCCTGTACCAATAAACCACATCTCGCCAGCTGGATGATTCAGTGTCTTCACACAGACCAGAGGGCAACATACTTGCTCACCGCCAGGTTCATCTCCCGTGCCCTGTCAGATATCCACCGCCGAGCCTTCAGAATCTTGGAGTGTGTGCTTTCCGGATGTAACGGTCATGCACTATTGTAGCACGGCCGCTATCCCGAAGACTAAAGTGTATTTTTACGTCAAATCCACTCATGACATATTGGCCATTGCGACCTGACCGTAGTGTCTTATGATGGGACTCGAATGCTACTTACTATTGATACGTACCTCTTTTAGACATTGCTTTGCACTATTTCATGTGACCAGTCCGTATATGTAGCTGGTACCTTGCCTTTTCTGTCACCAATACATGTCCTCGTGTATGTAGTACATACATACATACAGTTCAGCCTGCACAGCGCCAGTATGCCATGTCAAGTACTAGAGTGCCTTGGAAGGTTTGTGTTGGAAACTTCAAAACAGTCGGCTTACGGTGCATGGACTCGACAAGAGAGTTTGTAGAGTACTACTGTTCCCGGCCCGACTATCCTTCGTTTCACCTGCCAATCGGCAGTCACCTGTCGACACCTGGGCGTACATAAGTATGTACTTAGAGTACTGTATATTACTTAGTTTCTTGACGCAAGTTGAAGCTGAAACGCTCGGCGCTGTGAAGAATAGGCGCACGTAGATTTAAGGAGGAACTCAGCGCTTTAACCATCTGTAGCGTCGTACTATGTCACATGCCGTATAGCGAACCTTGACTCGACCAGCGAATTTGAAAGCGCCACCAGGTAGATGTATTTATTCAGGAGAACTACTCCAATAAAGAGGCCTTTATGGATACTGATGTCTCTATGCATAGTAGCTACACACTCAGATTAAACTCGTTGTTCCTCCAGAAAAGTACCAGTCTCGGAGTTATGGTACGCGTGTCAAAAGGGGCTAAACTCATACAGGTAATGCCGATAGTGCTGACAACAAACCGTGATTTATGTTGTCGTCGGGAGAGGGGGGTTGAAAGGGTTATGCAATACTAGTACATAAGTACTTTCTGGGATCGTGACTGAGGGACAAAGAATGTTCCCGCTTCCCTCCTCCTGTGCCGGTGTTCGGATAGGTAGGGTCTTACTGAGAGATTAGGTTTTCCTAGATAACTATATTTTGCGCGCAGATGTGCCGCAACACTCAGGCTATTCTATTTGCGTCTGGTCTTCCAGTTGTTTGTTGTAACGTTTTCTCCGAAAGGAAGCTACGAGCTATGAACGTACATTATAATACTGGCGATAAGACATATTCGCCATGTACTACAAGATCCTCGCTCTATACCCAATGTACGCATTCTTTGTGTTGTTATGTAGATCTTGTTTTCGCAGGTTACTCATTCGACGATGCATCATACACGAAGAAATATACTGTACTGGACAGTGCTCTCGTCTCTTATAGTAACCGCCTCTTGAATATTTTTCTTCCTGAGGCTATTCGCATTGCCTTGATCGAAAAGTTACTGCATTCTTCTTTAGCAAGAGAGACTTCATCATCCAACATATGATGACCACTATTCATAGACGGTATCCGAGTGATTGCGTCACCAGCGATTGTCAATGCGAAGAGCGACCAAAACAATTATGAGCCTTGATTCCACTAGTTTCCCGGTGTCCGTCGGTGTCCGTCAGTGTCCGTCAGTGTGGCTAAGAATAACCTCGTATCTCTTCCATGAATCAGGGGCTTCTCTATCCAAAATCGAGTCTAACGATTATTTTAGCGCTTCTCGTCATATCATAGCCACATCCATTCAAGTCTACTCTACTGCATATAATATTTCCTCTCTATACCTCGTTGGAGAATACCTTTTTACGGCAACAGCGCGACTTCTATATCATTACCAACGTGACTGTGCCTCTAAATATGATTCATCTTAACAAAGCTGCCGCTGTTACGCTATAAAATATTATGGTCCTCAAAATCTCACCACTGATTCCGACGGAAGTATCGTGTGTGAACGTTGGGAAGGACATCAACAAATAGGAAGAGACTTTGACGTGTTGCGAATAGGATGTGAGTGCCAAATGTACGGCTTCATAGAATCGCAGACCTTTTGATCATACTCGAAGATGTTTACCCTGAATTTTAATACACACTAACCAGACATACATATTTCGATTGACGAACGGCGCGTCAGAAACCCGAGAAACCAGGAGTTGTAGCCGCTGAGATTCCTTTTCAAGCTATATCTTCATTGACTGTCCTGTTACCATTACTACGTAGTTAGAGATCCGTAGCCATGCAATAAAAAGCAAAGTATGCTATTACCCAGAACTGTGCAAGATGTTCCGGCAATCCTTGGAGTAGTCCGTAATGTTCTCAAGCTCGAATTCATCTATTAATGTACTTGGCAGATAGCAAAACTTACCTCAAATGTTAAAAAGCAAAACCACAGCAGTCTTTGTTGAGATTGAGGTTATAGAATCCTTCCTGTTACTTGTAACGTACAGTACATAACTACCGAACATAAAAGTCAAGAGGAAAGAAGCGCTGCGCCACCATCACGGGGAGAAGTAGGACCCCGATCTCCGACCTGACTTTGCCCATTTTAGGCTTAGCGCAAGATGGAGGATAAGCCTCACTATCAGGTCAGGGTCCAATCACCCCTGACCACATGCATGCCAATCGATGTTCCTTATCGTCCACGCGCGCGTCGTCACATGTCGTTGCACCGCCGACCGCCATGAAACGCCTCTCTGACTGGCGGCCGCCCCCTCAAAGCAAGTATGCACGTAGATCTCGCCTTGCTAACACCCAGCACTGACCCCGTCCAGTTCAGCGTGACCTTGTGCCCAGCGTGATGGCTAAATCCCGCGCCTTGACTGGTCGTACCTCTTAACCCTTTCATCTCTCTTTCTCTCTCTTCCTCTCTCCAACATACTAGCTAAACACCGGTTTCTTTTCTGTCCCAACCGCCCCCCTCATTCATATACAGTAGTAGTCTTTGATTGCTATACTCCTTGTAACGAGCCAGTCGGGTCGCAAGAGAACTGTCCGTCGGCATCTCCGTTGGATCCACACACATTCGACGCGTACTATTCCCGAGCTACGCGCTATACCATATATCCTGCGTAGACTAAACGACCGACCTTCCGTATTGAGGCACAGTCGTTATTTGCCATCTATCGAATCAGCGACTGTATCGTCGAGTCGTGCATGCACAACGCCCTGTCGTGACGGGAGCCAAAAACAAGAAAGCTTGTTGTAGCTTGATTGCACAGCCGGTAGCCTTAATCTGTACCTTGGATCTTGGAGACTATCCTTGCCAGTAGTAGAAGGTCGCAATTTACAGACAAGAGGGAACAGAAGGATAAAAGTGGGAATCATGATCGACACTTTGGTAGATGCAGCGAGGGACGCAGTACATAATGCGGCTGCGTCGTCTGCAAATCTGGCGGCAGAATCGCCAACCATGCCTTCGCTCAGGACTCTAGGCAAGCTCGCCGTCGGTGGTGCACAAATTATCCTCGGTGGAGGTCAGCGCGTCATGGGTGACTTCACCCAGGCGTGCCCCAATGCGCAGTTGAGCTGCCACAACACGACTGCTGTGGAGAACCTATGCTGTTTCAACGCCCCCGGTGGACAGCTGCTCCAGACACAATTTTGGGATGCATCGCCTGCTACCGGACCAGATGATAGCTGGACGATTCACGGACTATGGTACATTTCCCCTTCCCCCCCCCACACATCCATATACACAACGTACTAACGAACGCACCCAAGGCCCGACCGCTGCGACGGAAGCTTCGACGCAAGCTGTGACTCGACGCGCTCCTACTCCAACATCAGCGCAATCCTCAACTCCTTCGGCGCCACCGACCTCCTCGCCTACATGTCGACCTACTGGAAAGACTACAAAGGCCAAGATGAATCATTCTGGTACCACGAGTGGGCCAAACACGGCACCTGCATCTCAACCCTCGAGCCCGAATGCTACACCGAGCACAAGCCCACCGAGGAAGTCGTCGATTTCTTCCAGAAAACCGTAGACCTATTTAAAACCCTACCAAGCTACGAGTGGCTCAAAGAAGCAGGCATCCTACCGAGCACCACGCAAACCTACACATTCGACGCAATCCAAAAAGCCATCCAGGCAAAGCGACCAGACGTCGAAGTCACACTGGGCTGTCGCTCCGGCGCACTCAACGAAATCTGGTACCACTTCGACGTACGCGGCAGCGTGCAAACAGGCGAATTCGTGCCCTCGAACCCCGATGGCACAAAATCCACATGCCCCCAATCCGGAATCAGATACTTGCCCAAACACGGTAGCGGGTCGCAGCCTTCCAACCCTATCATCACCACGACTAGTACGGTGGCTGGTGGCAATCCGGCGCCGACGGCTGCACCGGGGACTCCGTTTAGCGGGCGCGGCCAGTTGAATGTGCTTGTTGATGGGGCCAAGCAGGGCTGTATTATTAGCAAGGGCACGTGGTACGCGACTGGCACTTGTGCCACTTTCTCAGCTACCAAGGTGGGCGAGGATGGGTTTACGCTTTCGAGCTCAAAGGGCAACTGCGGCATTGTTGGGGGTGCGCTGGCGTGCGGTAACAATGTTCGCACTGCGACCGGTTTCACGAATGCCGATGGGCTGTTGGCTGCGGGTGGCAATGCCAAATGGAGCGCTGACAAGGCTGCGCGTGGAAGCACGCAGCAAACGGTGTATGCGGGTGGAGATCACTCTGCTACATTTAGCATTTCCTGGCAATCCGTCTAGATGATTGCTTGATTTCTCCTTTTTTTTTCTACTATACTCTCTTGATAGAATCGCATAAGCGAGCACAATGCATAGGCACGTATGAATGAATCACACAAACAAACTGATTGAGCAAATAATCTCTTCTTCATTTTTTTTGTAATGACCGCTGGTTAAGCAGCAATCTGGTCAATGGACCAGCCAGGCCACTTCTACGAAAAAGTACTGCTTTTGTCACCCAAAAGGCTTTCTTTTTTTTACATGGCACTACTGGTATCTTTCCCCCCATTCCATCTCAAGACATCATCAATCACAAATATCGTACGAGCTGTTGAACACTCCGGTCCGGATTCTTTTGTTGAAACACCGTTGCCCATACCCAAAAAAAACGCCGTCTTACGCCCTATAATCCCATTTTATACCACTCTGCATTTAGACGGGCAGAGGGAAGGTGACAGCCCAGGTGGCAATCTCCTTCTTAAGGTCGTTGATCTCTTGGACCTCGCCAGAAGCAACCTTGCTCTTGAAGTCCTTGAGCTTGTTGTTCTCCGTGGGAAGCTCGCTCTGGATCTTCTTGCACAGCTTGATGCAAGTGTCAATGTAGTTGGCAATCTTCTTGAAGTCCTCCTCGCCGAGACCACGAGAAGTCATGGCAGGGGCGCCGATACGGATACCCATGGGGGTAAGAGCGGACTTGTCACCAGGGGTGGTGTTCTTGTTGCAAGCAATGTTTACTTGCTCGAGAACAGCCTCGACACGTGCACCATCGAGGGAGAAGGGCTTCAGGTCAAGGAGAACCATGTGGTTGTCAGTGCCGTCAGTGACGAGTTTGTAGCCCATTGACTTGAAAGCAACCTCGAGAGCCTTGGCGTTCTTGATGACCTGCTGCTGGTACTGCTTGAAGTCATCTGATTGGGCCTGCTTGAGGGCAACAGCCAGCGCAGTGATGGTGTGGTTGTGTGGGCCACCCTGGTGACCAGGGAAGACGGAGAAGTTGATGGGTCCCTCAAGGTCGTACAGGGTCTCCTTGCCGGTCTTGGGGTCGGTCTTGCGTACACCCTTGCGGAAGAAGATCATGGCACCACGGGGACCACGGAGAGACTTGTGAGTAGTGGTGGTGACAATGTCGCAGTACTCAAAGGGCGACTTGTTGACACCAGCAGCAATGAGGCCAGAGATGTGAGCCATGTCCATGAGGAGGTAGCAACCGACCTTGTCGGCAATCTCGCGCATGCGCTTGTAGTCAATCTCACGGCAGTAGGCAGAGGTACCGGCGACAAGGACCTTGGGACGGTACATGAGGGCGTTTTGCTCGAGCTGGTCGTAGTCGATAAGGCCGGTCTCGAGGCTGACGCGGTAGGGGAAGGTCTCAAAGTATGTGGAAACGGCTGAGATCCTACACGTTGTTAGCTTTCATTCAATACGTATGAACCTGGTTGTGAATACGCACTTCCTCTGGGGTGTTTGGTAGCCGTGGCTCAAATGTCCACCGTGGGGCAGGTCAAGACCCATGAGCCTGTCGTGCGGCCTCATAATGGCCTGGTAAGCCTGAAGGTTTGCTGGGCTACCGCTCAAGCATTGAACATTGACACCCCACTTCTCGGGGTCCAAGCGGAAGGTCTCAAGAGCACGCTTTTGGCAGAGCAGCTCGATCGAGTCAATGTGCTCGTTACCGCCGTAGTAGCGGGCACCGGGGTAGCCCTCGGAGTATTTGTTGGACATGGGTGAGCCGAGCGCATCAAAGACGGCGCGGGAAGTAACGTTCTCCGAGGCGATCAGAAGAATGGACTCGCGTTGACGCTGAATTTCCTTCTCCTGCAATAATAGTTAGCAGACTGATTGAAAGATGAATTACTACTGGACTTGCCATGATCTGAGCGACCTCCTGGTCAGTGTCCACCAGGGACTTCTCCATGAGCTGTGGCGAGTTAGCATCGAGTACATTGTCTTTGAAGCGAGAGGCGACATACGTCCTGGTGGGACTTTGGAAGCGCGTAGTTGGACATGATGTGCGGTAGAATGTGAGGGAATGAAGGTGAGAGGTTGGAGAAAAGAGGGGGAGAAAAAGAGATGAGTAGACGCGGCGCGAGATTTTAAGCTTTTCGACAGTCGGAGTACCTGTAGTCCCATTCATCTAACCCCCACCAAATTTTTGGACACCAATAGGATGCACTAGTCTCGTTTAGGTATAGTGTCAACATAAAAGCACCTGTGCAGCCGGTCGTCGGAGCGAATCGGACATACTCTGCGGCGAGAAAAGCTGGAAAAGAGTGTCGTCGGTGATGCTTTGTCAATCGGACATTGACTTAATGATGAGAAATGTTCCGTTTTGGGGTCGTAAAAGTCACACTGGGCAAGGCTACAGAACCCTGCCCTTTCCCCGCGTTTTGCCCCTCACACCATGCGAAAACATCCCGGATGCGCATCACAAAGGCGATTCTCACGTCGCAGCCGAATTGCGCCAACATATGGTTTCAAACACCCGAGAGCTTATTGAGATCGGATATGCAGCTCCGTATCGTTATCCCGTTACGGATATATCACCCATGAAATGGTTCAAGTTTCTTGATTTGACATGTGCGGTTCTCATTCTCTCATTTACTACATAAATACAGTCCATCCCAGCGTCCATTTTGATTTCAATCATTCCCCCTATTCATTTAACATTTCTCGCTGAGCCTCAACTCGCCTTCGTGGATCAAATCGATCTGATGCAAAAAACAAAAAACCACTCCAATCTCAACGCCGGGTATGCCACAAAATATCGTTCTACGCAGCGAACTGCTTTCGCATCGCAGGAAAAAAAAAGGGTATGTAATAACTGAGCAGAAGAATGAAAGGCCGACTCGGGTCGGCATCGAATTACATAATCGCACCAACAAAATGCTCGTCTTTCGGAAATTATGTTGCGAATACATTCGCAGTCGCGTCAATGCTCTTAGTCATTGTCGGTGAGGCGGTCGAGGACAATGATGCTGAGAATCATGACAAGCAACCCAATGGTTACTATAATGAGCAGCACAAAGCCGAACCAACCAAGAACCATGGCAGATGTGCCGACACCAGACTTGACGCTACCGTTGCCGAGATCTTGCACGATTGTTGCAGCTGCGACCGAGGCGGTATGTTGCCATAAGACGGAGACGAGGACGAAGATGGACGAGATGAAGATGAGAGCGAGCGCGACCTGGGAGACGGGCCTGGAGGGGAATGGCTTGACGTCGACGTCGGATCCAGTTCGCTCGTCTCTCTCCTCATGCCATCCGGGGAAAGTGGCGAGGAGGATGAAGGTAAAGAAGGCGAGAATGATGGCGACGATGAGCAGGTAGGGGAAAACGACGGCATCCTTGAAGGTAGCGGCTACCCATACAAGGTTGAGGGGGTCCTGGTCGACGGACACGTTGTCGACAAGGGCAGTGGCGTTGTTTGAGCAAATGAAACCACCGCCATCACGGTTGATGCAAATGCCAAAGTAGCCGACACGAACACCGAGCTGGGCGTTGCCGACAATGTTTGCAATGGCGGCCGTGACACCAGGGTCGACCTGCTCAGGTGCGTAGGTGGGAGTGAACTGTTCGTACCACATGGAGATGAGGAAGATGCCGGGAATGAGAGGAGATGTGGATGAGCATCCTGCCAGTAGCAATGCTGCGGATTGTTAGTTTTGGCCGCATGGAATGTTTGGGTTTTGACGTACAGAGCAATATTATCGCAATGGCGATGAGAATCATGAGAACATGGTGAAAGCCAAGAAACGGTATTAACCCTGGTGTTTGTTAGTTTTGACCCCCTTTTTTTCCAATTCTCTTTGGAGCGACTAGAGGGAAACGTACGTTGCATGCTAACGGCGAACCTCAGGTTTGCCATTGTGAAGATGTGTGTTCTTCAATTGCCTCTAGTGGGCCTTGTGATGGTGGTTGGTCTCCCTGCGCCCCCAGAGGGCCGGGTGATGCGAGCGGCGGGATGCACTCAGACGGCTGCTGAAGAGTGTTGCGCTCTCATAAGCGGGTGCTCGAGTGCAAGCGGTGGTGGAGTTGTGTCAAGAGTATAAAAGATCAATGTCGGTCGGCGGTACTCTTGGCCTAGCCGCTCTTGCAGTGTCGGTCTGGATATGCACTGTGACAGCAATGGTCAGATGTCTCCTGTGTAGACAGAAAAAAGGGTGTGTGAGTGAGTGAGTGTAGGAGGTGGGTAGCGTGGAGTGTGACTTCTCTGGATGACTGCAGCAAAAGGTAGTTTTGCTGCTGGGGAAATGGTGAGGTTGGGTGTGTGGCTGGGAGGTGGTTGGAGGCTGCATCAACACGGCGGAAACTGTAGCAACCGCCTGGAACGCCAACGTCATGCCCCGGACCCGGCCCACAACCAATCAACCCGCGCGCTATCGTAGATGGGGACACTGGTTTTCTGCATACGGGCCAGCCGCCGGCGTGTTCCTGCATTAGACCCTCCTGCTTCATGTCCATACCCAGCCTCTGCATTTCTCCCAGCGACGTGGCGGCTTGCGTACGGCATCCGCCTCGGCCCACTCAGCAAGCCAGCGACCGCTCTTTCGCAAGCCCGGCCCCTAGACTACAATCCCCCTTAGGCGCGCCGCAGTATACAGAGTGCTGCGCGCGACGCGCTCCTCAACAGCGCATACCGCCATTGCTTGGAATCCATTTGTTGAAGTCCGTCCGCAGTCCAGTGTGTGGCGCTATGCGATAACTAAGCGTATAGTGGTGTACATTGCCCTTTGCTTTTGCGCCCACCGCCTAATCCACTCCACACGTGGTGCTTCATTCTAACAAAAAGTCCCCCAGACGCGTCCGACTGCCGGCTGCCGGCTGCCGGGGGGCGTCAAGAGTGGTTACCCGGCGACCCTGCAGCGCCCATCTCATCTGGAATCGCTTTGCCCACATGGCAGATGCTGCAAACAAGTAAGCAAGCAATGGGTGCTGTGAGTTTAAAAATTGGCAGAGGCTTGACTGCGCACCTTGCACGCGGGAACGTGACGGGTGACGTCATCAGAGTATTCGACGCAGGGACCAGTAATCCTACACGCCGAAGCCTATCGTAACGCAATAGTCATCGCCATTTGTAGTATACTATGTTCGTATCACTTGCCGGGAGACACTCAACTTGTATATACACAACATTCAAGCATATTGAGATATCCGCACGACCCTGAGATCTGAGCAGCCTGCAGCCAACCCGTCCCCCATGTGTCCCCATAACTTGCTTTCGCTTCTCGCCACCCGTCTTCACCCCCCATCCCTGCTTCTCAGCCCGTCTGGCCATGCAACCCAAGCAACTAAACACACTCTGTCAAGAAGCCATCTCGAATCTTGCTTCATATTGCCCAAGTCACGAGCTGAAAATGACGTTGGCGACATATCGCTCCTGTAGCCACACCGTCACCACTCAAGCACCTTCTCATCTCATACCCAATCTTCTTGCTGTAGACTGTAGATGGCAACCACGAAACATGACGTAAATGATCAAGTGTAGAAGGCGTACAAAGTGCATATAAACACCCCTTTTTGCTCCATTGTAAACTCTCCATCACAACTACAACTCCAAACATCATCTTCGCCAACCTAACATCCAAACTCCAACCCACCAAACCACCCAACCAAATCCTTCACCATGACCGACGCCTTCCGCAAAGACACCCACACCAAGCTCGGCGAGTCCCTGGTACGCCCCCCCTCCCCTTCCACCCAAACCCCACACAACTAACCCATGCCAACAGCAACCCCAATCCACCAAATCCACAGGCACAAAGATCAAAGAGTCCCTGACGGGCACAGCCGACAAAGTAGCCCGCGAAGCGCAACCCGACTCATCCAAGACGCACACGCAGTCGACCATGGACAAGCTGGGCCGCTCCAAGGACAACAACGTGCACGGCTCCACGGGCGGCAGCATCGTGGATAAGACGAAGAATGCATTGGGATTGGGACATCACGGTAACACTCACAGTGGCTTGTAAAAGAAAATGATTGAGTCGGGGGGGAAAGTGCAGACGGAGGGGGGGG